TGGAGGCTACACTTCCCAGCCTATCAGAATGGCAGCCTGCAAGGATGCACAACCCTAACCCTTTATGAGGGATAAAGCTCTCTTTTCTATACTTATGAACCTTGTCATTCTTCAGTTGGCAGGAGATTAGGTCTTTAAAGAGATGATTAAACTAAAATGAGATGGCCTGGCACAGTGGTTCACGCCTGTAATCCCAGCACTTTGGGATGCCGAGGCTGGTGGATCACCTGAGGTCAGGAGTTCAAGACCAGCTTAGCCAATATGGTGAAACCCCATCTCTACTAAAAATACAAAAAATTATGCTTTTTATTATACAAAACAAGGAGAATCCTCACCTAGATCTATTACAATGAAATTTAAGAACATCAATGACAAAAAGAAAATTTGCAGACTCCAGAGAGAAAGAACAGATTATCCATAAAAGAGTAAGAATCATATCGACATCACACTTTTCAAATAAACATAGGATACAGGAAGAAAATAACGTTTTTAAATGATTGAGGGAAAAGACTTTGTAACTTGCAGAAACCATTAAACTAAATAGAAAAGCTTTATACACATTTCCCATGAAATCAGCACAGCACCATTACTATTAATATATTACAAAGTCTCAGCCAGGCGCGGTGGCTCACGCCTATAATCCCAGCACTTTGGGAGGCCGAGGCAGGCAGATCACAAGGTCAGGAGATTGAGACCATCCTAGCTAACACAGTGAAACCCTGTCTCTACTAAAAACACAAAAAAATTAGCCGAGCGTAGTGGTTGGTGGGCACCTGTAGTCCCAGTTACTTGGGAGGCTGAGGCAGGAGAATGGCGTGAACCCAAGAGGCGGTGGAGCTTGCAGTGAGCAGAGATTGCGCCACTGCACTCCAGCCTGGGCGACAGAACTAGACTCCGTCTCAAAAAATAATAATAATATAATATAATATATATATATTTTTTACAAAGTCTCCTGGCCAATGTAATAAGAAAAGAAAAAGATATAAGGGGTATAAGGAAGGGCAGGGCTAAAACTGATTATTTGCAGAATTTGATAATTTTAGAAAAAAAGCAACAGAATAATAAAACTATTAAAAATTACAAGAAAGTTTAGAAATTATCCAGAATGTTCTGGGGATTAATAAACAAAGAATGTTTAGAAATTGAAAACCATCAGGAGTTGGAGACCAGCCTGGCCAACATGGTGAAACCCTGTCTCTACTAAAAATACAAAAATTAGCTGGGCATGGTGGTGCACACCTGTAATCCCAGTGACTTGGGAGGCTGAGGTGGGAGAATAGTTTGAACCTGGGGGGTGGAGGTTGCAGTGAGCCAAGATTGTGCACTGCACTCCAGCCTGGGCGACAGAGCAAAACTCCATCTCAAAAAAAAAGAAAAGAAAAAAGAAAAAGAAAGAAATTAAAACCAATTTTTTGTCTTTAAAATTTTAATTTCTTTTACATCAAAGGCAAGCTTACATAGAGTGAAACGCATAGATCTTACATGCATAATTCAATGTGTTTTGATAAATACATACATTACATAACCACTATCCCAATTAAGACGTAGAATATTTCCAGGACCTGGAAACTTCCATTGTGTACCTTTCAAGTTAATCCTCAAGCCCTAACCCCAAGCTGAAGCAGTCACTATTGTGAATTTCTATTATCATAGATTAGTTCCTGGCCTATTCTTGAACTTCATATAAGTGGAATTACAGTATGTCTTCTTTTGCATCTGGCTTTCACTCAAGATTTTTTCCAAATTCATCCATACTATTGCACGTATCAATAGTTTATTATTAGCTGGGCACGGTGGCTCACACCTGTAATCCTAGTACTTTGGGAGGCTTGGCCAGGCGGATCACTTGAGCTCAGGAGTGCAAGACCACCCTGGGCAACATGGTGAAACTCCATCTCTACAAAAAATACAAAAATTAGCTGGACCTGGTGGCATATACCTGTAGTCCCAGCTACTCGAGTGGCTGAGGTGGGAGGATCACCTGAGTCCCAGAGGTCAAAGCAGTCATGATCCTGCCACTGCACTCCAGCCTGCATGACAGAGTGAGGTTCTGTTTCCAAAAAAAAAAAAAAAAAAAAAAATTATTGTATATCAAGGAGTATTATGCCATTACAGGGATACATCACATTCTAGTTATCCATTCACCTGTTGATGGCGATTTGAGTTAATTTCATTTTTCAGCTATTATGAATAATGCTGCTGGAAATATCCATGTCCAAGCCTCCACCTGGACATTCACTTTCACTCTTCCTGAGTGAATACCTAGGAATGGAATTGCAGGGTGATAGGGACGATGTATTATGTTTATTTAATTTATTTATTCATTTTTGAGATGGAGTCTCTCTCTGTCACCCAGGCTGGAGTGCACTGGTGCTATCTAGGATCACTGCAACCACTGCCTCCCACGTTCAAGCGATTCTCTCCTGCCTTAGCCTCTTGAGTAGCTGGGACTACAGGTGTGCGCCACTACGCCTGGCTAATTTTTGTATTTTTAGTAGAGACAGGGTTTCATCATGTTGGCCAGGCTGGTCTCAAACTCCTAACCTCAGGTGATCCACCCTCCTCGGCCTTCCAAGGCGCTGGGATTACAGGTGTGAACTGCCGTGCCTGGCTCTTTTTTTGTTTGTTTGTTTCTAATCTGGTTGTCTTTTATTCTTTGTTTATTTAACTTAAAAATCAGTAATATTTTATGTAATGGTATAAAATAATTTACCATTCATAATGGCAAAAAACCCATAATGTATCTAGGAATTCCTGGTTACGAATGTACAAGATATCTATGGAGAAAATTGTGAAATGTTAAAGATCATCATAAAAGACAATCTGAATTAGCAGTTCTATATTACAAGAGGATAATTTGTCATTTCTCTTCAAATTAATCAAGTGAATTCAATCTTAATGTTTTTTTTTTTTTTTTTTGGATTGGATTGGATTTTTTGAAGAGCAACAAATTTGTCCTAAAGTATACATGAAAGATTAAATATCCAGAAATAGCTAAGTCAGTATCGAAAAAGAGGAGTAAGAGGAGGAACATGTTTTAAAGATATGAAGACATATTGCAGAGCTGAGTAATAGAAAGCAGTGTGGGAAGGGTATAAGAACAAATACCAGAGACCAACAGAACAGAGCAGGATGCTCAAATACAGACCTAAACATATTGAATTATCTAACATGTGGCATCAGGCAGCAATGGGAGACAGCTTAGAAACAAAAGGCATTTTTGCTGGGATTACAGGTGTGAGCCACCACGCCTGGCCTTACAGTAAATTATTGATAAACAACCCAGGAACTGCCTCTTCTTTCCTTTAAAAATTCACTTGCAGCTACTACTAATCTGAGTATACCCAGGGCAACTTGAATCTACAATTGCAATCCTCAAGTTTGGCCCAAATAAACTCTCTACTTATATTAATTTTGCCTCAGCTTCTTCCTTTTAGGTTGATTATTTCATGCATGTTTCACCTTGTTCAATCTTTAATTGCTCAAACCAGAGTTTAAAGACAAAATAAGTTACTGCACGGTAGTAATTTTCACGTAGCTATTTTCATCTGGCTTGGATTTTTTTTTTTTGACTATTTTTTGACTGACTTTGACTATTTTCACCTAGCCAGGATTTTTCAGAAGGGACATTCTTTAATTGTGTCTTACAATCCAATTTCCTCAGAGAAACTTCTTGGAGTTTCCCCAGCACAGTTGCTCATCATAGGCTTCATGGACAAAAGCCTCACTATTTATTAGATTCTCTTCTTCTTGGTCTTTTTCTTTATGACAGTTCAAATTTCTTGATGCTGCTGCACTAGTTCTAGAAATCAAAGAAACAAAGTCAAAAGAATTGTTTCTTGAGATAGAAGCTGAGATGGAGGTATGTACGGTTAGAAAGGACTACTTATCCCCATCAAAGATTATTGTTATTGGCATTATACCCTATCTCAATTGCCTATTTAACAAAGCAAATAATCTAGAATGGGCAAGATTTGAGACAAATATGATTCGTTACTAAGTGTTCACTTAACTTCCAAATTGGCGTATCTTCTGAGTAGATGGATTCAGGGCGACTTTAATCTATGCTCCCGGGTTGCAATCCTCAAGCCTGGACCAAATAAACACTGCTTATATTAATTTTGCCTCAGCTTCTACCTTTTAGGTCAATAGTATCAAGCCTCTTTAAGTGGCCTATAGGTAACTGAAGCTATGTTCAGTTTTTTTTTTTTCTCTGTGTGCGCCATTTTGTATCGTTTCTGTTGCTATGTCTTTAAATTCATTAATCTTTTTTCTGCATTGCCTAATGTGCTACCAATCCCATCCAAATAAATTTTTATTTCAAATATTTTTCACCTCCATCTAGAAATTTGATTTGTTTCTTTTCAAAAATCTTTCCAGTTTCTCTCCTATTATGTCTTCCTTTAAATCTTTGAGCATATTCATAACAGTTGTTTAAAAACCTTGTCTGTTAATTTCATCATTTTTATCATTCTGGAGTTTGTTTCTATTAACTTCACATTTTCTTACCACTTGGTCAGTCTCTCTCTCTCTTCCTCTCTATCTCTCTCTCTTTTGAGACAGAGTCTCACCCTGTCACCCAGGCTGGGTTGCGGTGGTGCAATCATAGGTCACTGCAGCCTTGAACTCCTGGGCTCAAGCAATCCTCCCACCTCAGCCTCCCCAAGTGCTGCGTGTCTCTTAATTTTTGACTGGATGTCTCACATTTTGAACTTAATGTTGTCGAATCCTGGATTTTAGTCTTTCAGAGAGTATTAGACTTCGTTCTTACAGGCAATTAGGTTACTTACAGAGCAGTTTGATCCTTTCAGGGCTTGTTCTAAGGCTTTTGAAGAGTCTACAGTAGCTTATACTCTGGGTCCTGCAGTCTAGGGCTATTGTATCTCACTAAGGCATGACGCTTTTGTAACTGTCCAAGAGTTTCATCTTGCTCACTGCCTAGACAGAGTCGATTTATCAAGACAGGCAAATTGCAATAGACAAAGTAATTCATGCAGAGCTGGCAGCACAGGAGACCCGAGTTTTATTATGTAAATCAGTCTCCTTGAACATTTGGGGATCAGAGTTTTTAAGGATAATTTGGTGGGTGAGAAGCCAGTGAGTCAGGAGTGCTGATTGGTTGGGTAGGAGATGAAATCACAGGGAGTCGATGATGTCCTCTTGCACTGAGTCAGTTCCTGGGTGGGGGACACAAAATCAGATGAGCCACTCTATCAATCTGGGTGGTGCCAGCTGATCCATCAAGTGCAGGGCCTGCAAAATATCTCAAGCAATGATCTTAGGTTTTACAATAGTGATATTATCGCCAGGAGCAATTTGGAGAGGGTCAGAATCTTGTACTTTCAGCTGCATGGCTCCTAAATCATAATTTCTAATCTTTTGGCTAATTTGTTAGTCCTACAAAAGCAGTCTAGTCTCAAGAACAGGGTTTATTTTGAGAAACGGCTATCACCTTTGTTTTAAACTATAAGCTATACACTAAGTTCCTCCCAATGTTAGTTTGGCCTACGCCCAGGAATGAATAAGGATAGCTTGGAGGTTAAAAGCAAGATGGAGTTGGTTAGGTCCGATCTCCTTCACTGTCTCAATGATAATTTTGCAACGGCAGTTTCTCTTCTGAGGTTTCTAGTGCATGTTCCATGGTATCCAATAATCTCTTCACTCTGGTTGCTGGGAGCTCAAATGATTCCCAGTTCTGTGTGAGCTCTCATCATTGTTTGGTGTACTGCTCCCCAATAATTGTTCTTTCCTGGCCTTGTGGAGTTTCACGTTTTTTACTCAGTTAAAGATTCAAAGGTACTCCTAAGCAGATTTCTGAAGCTCTTTTTCCATGTAATTCCCTCCTCTCCAGAATTCTGTCCCACAAATTCCAACCAACTTGGCCTACCCCAATTTCCTCAACTCCAATCCCTGTCTTCTCAACCTGGGAGATCCCAGGTTTCCATTTGATTTCCCTTCTCTGCACCACAGACTGGAAATGGCCTCTGGGCAAAAGGGCAGAGTGATATAGGGCTCCTTTTGTTTCTCTTCTCTCACGTAAAACAATCCACAGCTGCCTGTTGTCCAATGTCTGAGGAGTTGTTTCCTACATCTTGTTCCGTTTTCTAATTGTTTACAGTGGGACACTAAGTCCAGACCCATTTTCTTTTCTTGTCCAGAAGTGTAAGTTTTAGGAAACTCCTTACGGAAAATGCGAATTGCTTTACTATTTTTTATGGTTGAAAACATCTTTCTCTATGACACCTCCCCACTTACCCTGCTTTTTTCTTCTCAGTAAAAGCTGACGCGATCATCCGTTCCGGTGCTACCCTCTGGTGTCCGGACTAGATCCTTGCGCAACTTCAACCCGCGCTAGTTCCGCCCACGGCCGGCCACGCCCCGTCCTCTCACCGGCGCGCCTCCCTCTTGTTCTTCCTCCCTCCCCCGTGGACTGCGGCGCTGGCGTTCCGTGCACGCCGGCTCACTGCGCCTGCGCGGCGTTTGGACGCCACACGCTCCCGGAAGTAGGAGGTGGCCGCTGGAGTTTGTGTGGCCGCCGCCGCGGGAACGCGAGCCCGGTAATTTTTCAACGGAGAAAGGCGAGGCTTTCGGGCTCGGCCGAGTGAGAGTGAGTAAGTGTCCGGCTCCAGTAGCTCTCCTCTGGCGTGACAGCCGGCATGGAGGAACCACAGAGTAAAGAGCCTGCCAGCGAGGCCGTGACTCCCGTGCTGCTGGAGTCGCCGCGGCCGGAGGGCCGGGAGGAGCAGCAGCGTCCCAGTCCCGAGGTGAGGAGTCGGCCCGCGCCCGGTTGTCGGCGCCCGCTGCCCGGTGCCCCAAGCGCCCTCGGCACCCCTTTCTTCTCAGGTGTCCCGCAGAAGGTGCAGCTGCGCGCCCTTGGACCCCAGCCTCTTCCCCCGCGCCAAGCTCCCTAGCCTTATCCTGGGATGGTTGTCTTGGAGCCCCATCAGGGCCGAATCACTCTGTGGGAGGGAGGAAATCGTCAAGACCAGTTCTGTCAATAGTGGGTGAATAGGTTCTAAGTGGGAGTTCTGCTCTAAACTTAGTTCTATGTTGACGGTTGCTGTTGTCACTCCATCTAGCCGTTATGGGTAATTTGCAAGGCTTTCTCTTTTTAAAATCTCACCATATACCCTAGGTATGTCACTTCATACCTTTAAAAAAAATTTAAAAACACCCACTAGCATCCCTCTCTCTTACCTGTTAAGTGGAGCTTCGTCTTAACTGCTTTTGCTCATTTACTGGTGTCTCATATAAACATAGTATAGTGTACGATTGAATTAATAATTTTGACATCTCATTGGTCGAACCTAGTTATAGTGGCAAAGTTGTAGAACAGTCTTGAAACTTATTTAACGAATGTAATTGTTGACTAGCGCTGCGGATTGTGATTGAACACTAAAATTGATCTTTTCCTAATAATAAACATGTTGAGCACTTCGTGAAGTGGGTATTTGCAAGAGGCCTCTTAACTCTTGCTCCTTACGTCCACAATCAATTTCTATCTGGCAGCTAGAACGAGCTTTGTAATAACATGAATTTGGCTTATTCTCCTCCTTAGTAACTTCGATTTGCTGCTCTGCGGGGTCTGGTGCCTGCCTCTGTTGCTAATTGGATCTCACAGTTTTTCCCTTTTGTTGCCAGTGCCCCTCGCTTCCTTGTGTTCTTTTACGTTGGAAGGAAGGTCTTTCTTGTTAAGGGTGTCTCTATGTTCCTTGTGCGCTGCATGCACTTCCTTTGGATCTTTACAATTATCTTTCTCCTTCTAAAGTTGTTACTTTCAAAGAGTACTTGCTCATTCCCTCTCATAAAGAACCACTCTTCCACCTGCCTCCCTCTTCAACCTGAGATACATTGTGTCAGTCTCATCGTGTAAGTGGTTTTTAAAGTAAATTTCGAAGTTTATTTTTAGTAAAAAGAAGTGTGTTTGAATCTACTTCTTTATATTTGAAAGTCTTGACACTTTTACAGCTACTTGAAGGCCTAGATTTCTGTTCCAAATTGGCTTTAGTGACGGTAGTAATTGTTAAAAACTTACCGTTACATGCTCTTAATAATGATACTTTTTTTTTTTTTTTTTTTTTTTACAAAAAGGAGCCGGGCGTAGTTGCGCTCGCTCAGGGTCCCAGCCACTAGGGAGGCTGAGTGGGGAGCATCACCTGAGCCCATGGGTGGAGGCTGCAGTGAGCTGTGATCGTGCCACTGCACTCCAACCTGGGTGACAGAGTGAGACCCTGTCTCAAAAAATAATGATGACAGTTTGTTTTTTTTTTTCTTTTTTTGGAGACAGAGTTTCATTCTTGTTGCCCAGGCTATAGTGCAATGGCATGATTTCAGCTCACTGCAACCTCTGCCTCCGGGATTCAAGTGATTCTCCTGCCTCAGTCTCCCTAGTAGCTGGGATTACAGGAACCCACCACCACACCCGGCTAGTTTTTGTATTTTTAGTAGAGATGGGGTTTCACCATGTTGGCCAGGCAGGTCTCCAGCTCCTGACCTCAGGTGATCTGCCCACCTGGGCCTCCCTGAGTGCTGGGGTTACAGGCATGAACCACTGCGCCTGGCCATGTTACAGTTTTTTTCAATCTCAAGCAAAGTTTTTTGTTGAATTCACGTGGTAAATTTCCATTATCTCTAATGCCAGTTGTCTTTGAAAACTAACAGAAGCTATTGCATATTTATATTTTTAATAAGTAGGTTCAAATTTCATCAGAACTCTCGAGTTCTGATGAAATTTGAACCTACTTATTAAAATATATATAAAGTATATAAAACATCAAGAAGATTTCTAAGTTTTTTTTTTTCAGTGTGCAGATGCAGAGGTTTTCCTTTTCTTTTTTTAGTAGGTAGTACCTCGATTTTTGGCAACAAAATAATAGAAGCATTTCCAAAACCTCTGTTTTCAAAATGTTCTCTATAAAGTTTCTTTTGACAAGCAAGTTACTTTCTAGCTTACTGTTAAAATGTATTTTCTTTTATCTTGCAACAACAGACTGTGTTCGTTTAAAAAAATGTTAAAAATCAAGCTCCCGTACCCTTCCCAGTAAGAAGAGGACAGCAATTTTAGAATACCTGTCTTTTTGTTATAGAAAATATGTAACTCATCTTTCAGTTCAACAACAGTTAAAGTGCTTTGTTGCAAGATAGTAAACCTGTGTTTGGTATGGAAGATTTTCATGGCCACATCCCAGAATGTAAAAGATTCTCTTATTTGAGATAATATAAACCATACACCCACTTAATTGAACACGTGAATATTGCAAAATGTTACAGTTCTGTGATGCTGAATGTTTCTCTCCATATTGTGGTATCTATCACTTTTCTCATTATATGGTCAGTATTCTATGTGACGTGATAGATGGATGTAGATACTGGCGTGGATGCTGTTGCAAATGTAAGTATTTTGTAAACTAATTTTGTGTTTCTGCAGATTGACAATACAAGTAGGGTTTTTAATATTTTCTTTGTGCTCCTTGGTGGATTGACTTGAGCATCCTTCTTTATGAATCATTAGTGTAGATCTGAAATTTGGGAGGAGACACTGATTTCTGAGGATTGGACCTTGGCTGTCTCTAGAACTTCAGTGAAGGAAGAGAACTAGAGCTGGACCTAGGAAAGGAAGCAAATTTTTCTTTATAGAAGTCATAATTTATGGCATCTATAGAAGAGGCCTACGTGTTACTTGTGAATAATTTTTGTAGCTACAGTTTTGGATGAGAATTAACAAGTGAATGAGAAAGAGGATTTGTCCAAAGAGAAAATCTACTTAAATTAACTGAGACATCTGTTTTGGTAGACAAACTGTTTCTTAATGTTGACCTAAATTTTAACCTGCCTAAAGATGAAGTTTAAAATTCAATGTAGATTTAAAGTCAAAAGATAATTTTTTATTAAATTCTGATCAAGCAGAGAGATATCTATTGTAAATTTAATATATTGTTGAAAGTGAATTATTGGTCAACTAGCAATACTTTTTTTTCTTAACATTGTTAACAACGAACCTCAATGTGGCTATTCTTTAATTTATGGACAGTTCACACATTGGAACTGCTGACTTCTTCCTCAAAGGAGATGGGTGAGTCACTCTTGAGTACTCTGGCACGTTTTTTTTTTTTTTTTTGAGACGGAGTCTCGCTCTGTCGCCCAGGCTGGAGTACAGTGGCTGGATCTCAGCTCACTGCAAGCTCCGCCTCCCGGGTTTACGCCATTCTCCTGCCTCCCGAGTAGCTGGGACTACAGGCGCCCGCCACCGCGCCCGGCTAGTTTTTTGTATTTTTTTTTAGTAGAGACGGGGTTTCACCATGTTAGCCGGGATGGTCTCGATCTCCTGACCTCGTGATCCACCCATCTCGGCCTCCCAAAGTGCTGGGATTACAGGCTTGAGCCACCGCACCCGGCCTCTGGCACCTTACCTAGCATTACATTTCCAGGAAATGTGTGTTGCATTAAATTGAGAGCTTAGATTAAGAAATAGTTCCTGAACCATCAGGATCAGTTCTAAGTCAGGGACTGTGGCCTCTTTGTGATTATCCTTTCTTGATCTGTAATTAAAGTTTATATGAGGACAATGTGGTAAATTATAACTGAGGTAGCAAGCTTTCATAGGGATTAACAGTAAGTACTAAGTATTTTTGAAAATTCTGGAGCATAGCTAATATTTGTGATAGTGCATGTGGAAAATAATTAACTTATAAATGAATCTTTGGAACTTAACATATTAGTAATTTGAGACTGCCTGTGGAGAAAGTAGAATTGAGTCATGGTTTTTTCTTAACAGATTTTTATTTATGAAAAGATTTATAATTCTGTGCTGCTTCTGTTTAACTGACATAAGTATAACTTTTGGAAAATGTAAGTTTTGAAATGAAATACATTTCCTTTGCTTTGAGTACTAGGAAGCTGTGATTAGATTTGCAGTCCATTTTGTTTTTATGTTGGACAATATTTGTTAACTTTGTGAAATGAAGTCAGGTTAAACAATTATCAGAAGTTATTGTACATGTGTAATGTAAAAGTTCATTTAAAAATGGGTTCATTTGTAAATACTAGCATATTGTTTGTGAAGGGCTTGTTGTATAGTCTGTGATATTAATAGTTACCATTTATTAATTGCTACTGTGAGTCTAGGAGCCTGATACATATAATCTCATTTAATCTTTGTAATAATTCTGCCCAAACACTATTTACCATGACCAAATTGCCATTTTATAGATAAGGAAATTGAAGATCAGAGGCTAATATGTGACTATCCAAAGTCATGCTGCTATTTCTGGTAAATAGTCAGCTGGGGCTCTCTTATTGAGGTGGTGTTGACTCCCAACATCAGTCCTCTTTTTACTTAGCTTTGTTTCCTTTGAGGAACCTCATGACTCATAATAGAGTGGGGTAAATTGTATTGGAGACACATCTTCCTTCTTCTTATCCTTTCCTCCCTTTAGGAGCTGCAGTGAACACTTTTCATTGAACATGTAGCATGAAGAGGCTTCAGAAGTTTGAATCTTTAAATCTGTGATGTTTGTACTAATTATAAACTACATCTCTTTTTTTTTTTTTTTTTTCCCGTAGGAAACTCAACAGTATAGATTTGATGGCCAGGAGACAAAAGGATCCAAGTTCATTACCTCCAGTGTGAGTGACTTCAGTGACCCAGTTTACAAAGAGATTGCTATTACGAATGGCTGTATTAATAGAATGAGTAAGGAAGAACTCAGAGCTAAGCTTTCAGAATTCAAGCTTGAAACCAGGTAATTAAAAATAACATAAAATTATAAAAGTAGTACATACTCATTTTAGAAAGTCTTGAAAACATTGAAATATTAAAAATCGTCTGTAATCCTACCATAATGACATGACCCTATTAACAATTCAAAAACACCATAATTAACATTTTTTTATGTGCAACTCTGATTATTTTTGTCCATGTTCTAGATGATAGTACTGCTGAATCAAAGTCTATGAATGTTTTAATGACCTTCCGACAATGTATAGGAGTATCTGTCTCATTATAACAAGTGTGTTTTTAATTTTTTTAGTTGCTCATTTAAATGATGGATAGTTATATTAGTGAGATTGAGTATTTTTCTTTTTTATTTTCTTTTTGCCATTTGTATTTTTTATAAAAAGAGTTTGTTTGAAACCAGGTACGAGAAACGAAAAACATCATTCACTTACCAGGAATATTTTTTGTTTTGATTTAGTTTCTAAAAAATAATGTACAGTGATGGTATGCATTATGTTTAACTGTATATTGAGTGAGAAAACAAGGCAACTTAGTCAACTGTGTGTGTATTTTAATGAGATATACACATACCTAAGTTTTTAGTAATTTTTATGAAACAAATCACTTTACGTTGACTTGGGCCATGGGGCAGGAATGGCTTTTGGAGTCCAGAAAAATACATAGATTTTTGATAAACAGTAGAACTGCCAGGCATCAAGAAAAAAAGTTGCCTGTATGAAATAGGTGAAAACTCTTACTTTTTCAAGGCATCTCTGAATCTTAATTCTCTTAAAAGTAGTAGTCTTCCTCTTTAGAGTTTCATCACTCTTCAGAAGAGCACAAATATATTTCTAGATTGTCTACATCATAATGTATGAAGAAATTTTTGATTCCTAATTCCCCAATTCTTTCTGTTATGAAGGTACAGCTTGTAGCCTACAGAAGATTTTCCGAGCAAAATTTTTGTCCTTCCCAGGTGTGAAGATCAGTTGCTTACTCCTGGCTTGCATGGGAGCTAGAGATGTAGATGTATGTTTATACATTTATTCAACAAGCCTGTATTGAATTCTAACTACTGCACTAGGCATTGAAGTTATAAAGGTAAATACAGATATGTTCCCCACTTTGACAATCTCAGTCTTTTGGGAAAACACACAAATCATCACAGTACGGAGTGGCCAATGCTGTATTGGAGGTCTGGCCAGGTACAGCATGAGGATCCAGAGGAGAATATTTCTCAGGGATTCAGAAAGATGACATTTGAATTGTGCCAAACAGAAAAGGGAGGGAGGGTATTTCAGACAAAAAAATAACATAGAAGCTTTTCTAATTCCAGTTTGTATGGTTTCTGCAACATGATCTTGCCTTTTCTTCAGCTGTTGTGCAACCAAAGTTATAGGACATAAAAGTGTACTACACATACTGAGAACATGACTTTTAAAGTTTTCTTATTTTTTTGAGACAGAGTCTCGCTCTGTCGCCCAGGCTGGAGTGCAGTGGTGTGATCTCAGCTCACTGCAACCTCCGACTCCGGGGTTCAAGCGATTCTCGTGCCTCAGCCTCCCAAGTAACTGGGATTACAGGCATGCACCACCATGCCTGGCTAATTTTTGTATTTTTATTGGAGATAGGGTTTCTCCATGTTGCCCAACCTGGTCTCGAACTCCAGCTCAAGTGATCCACCCATCTCCCAAAGTGCTGAGATGATAGACGTGAGCCATCCAGCTGGTGGAAGCCATGACTTATAGTATGTTTTGTCTGCAGTACACAGTATACCTCAGGAACATTTGAGAGTGGTACTGAAATGATAGGTTGTAGCCAAGTTGTGAAGGAACTCTATGTTGAAGTCTGCATTTTACCTTGTAAGCAGAAGGGAGCCACTGAAGATACTTAAGCAGAAAATTGGCATTAGTGCTGAGTTCTCAAGTAAGGTAAAGAATGAATTGAAGGGTTGTGGTAATGGAGGCATTTGCTGTACTCCACAAAGCTAATGAGAGCCATGGCAGAAAGAATTAAAGAGAATCATGTTCTGAATATTTTTCTCAGTTGGAATTGGCAAATATGGTGAATATTTGGAAGAGCAAAGGAGATGTTAAAGATAGCAGGTTTCTATCCAGAGCAACTAGTTGTATGTTTGTCCTTCCATTAGCTTTGCAGACATCTCTGGTATATGTAGTCTCTCCCCCATCACACCTCCCACCCCCCAACAAAAATAAAAAAAAGAAACTAATCCAAAGCTGTCACATGACACAGAGGTCACTCACAGTGCCTTAATATGAAAGAGGTTAGGGATTTTCTCCCTAGGTCTTGATAATTTGGAAAATCTCAAGCAAAGAAACAATATTAAGACATTTTGTCTTAAAATAGCTAACTGGTCGATTATTACTATTTTCGTGGGTAGGATTTTTTTTCACTGCTTAATTGTAGTTTAGAAAGGAAAATAGGCCGGGCGCGGTGACTCAAGCCTGTAATCCCAGCACTTTGGGAGGCTGAGGCGGGCGGATCACGAGGTCAGGAGATCGAGACCATCCTGGCTAACAACAGTGAAACCCCGTCTCTACTAAAAAAAATTACAAAAAACTAGCCAGGCGAGGTGGCGGGCGCCTGTAGTCCCAGCTACTCGGGAGGTTGAGGCAGGAGAATGGCGTAAACCCGGGAGGCAGAGCTTGCAGTGAGCTGAGATCCGGCCACTGCACTCCAGCCTGGGCGACAGAGCTAGACTCTGTCTCAAAAAAAAAAAAAAAAGGAAAATAAAAGTTTAAAACGTTTTTTTAAATAGTCATTAATCAGTTAACATGATACTTTACTTGGCACTACAAGTTAATTTAGATCCTCTTATTTTTACTTCTACTTCATATTTGCAGGCCAATATAGGATTCATTTGCATAACACTGAAGGAAGCCTGAATGCTGGTTGCGACTTTATTTTTTGGAAAAATACGTATTGTTTAAAGAATGAAGTCACCTGATCACTGTTACCGTTAGGATGACCTTTCTCTCCTCCCCACTACTCCCATTTGTGGAATGTATATTTTAAAGCTACCTGTGATATTGAAATCCCCTAAATCATATTCTACCCATGATAAATTAAGAAACTTATTTCTAGTTAAGAACCTACTAGTATGATAATGTTCCTCTGGACACAGTTCACTTAGAGTGTATTCTAATTTAGTTTTCCTTGTTAAGTAACCAATAGACATTCACCTTTATATGCTAGGCTCATAATGCTTTCATATTCATATGAATCTTTTGAGTTGACTAACCTACAAAAGCCAAAAGAAAGGAAAGAGATAATACTATATCTTCAATTTAACCCAAATTTTTATATTCTTAAGTTTATATTTTGGCCAGTGGAATAATTTTATATTAATTTCAATGTTTGTATCATATATGTTATCTTAGTATATAAGGCAATATGACTGTGTTGGTGGTATATGCTGACAATGTATATGGTTTGAAATACCAGTATATGTTGGAGAAAATACTGTTATATACTACTAAAATAAAAAACTACTTGTGAAGGAAAATGTTAATGTTGTAATGAACATTATTTTAATTGTTTCTTTGCTAACTTAGCTTTGAGTCTTGCTTTTCTTACATTTATTTTAGCTAGCATTTGCTAAATTATGCTGTAATTGTCAGTGTTCAACCCAGTGCCGGCAGGTAAGCATTTTGATTCTTGACTGTAGAATTTACCTAAGTGTAACTACTCTTCTTCTTCTTCTGCTTAGAGGAGTAAAGGATGTTCTAAAGAAGAGACTGAAAAACTATTATAAGAAGCAGAAGCTGATGTTGAAAGAGAGCAATTGTGCTGACAGTTACTATGACTACATTTGTATTATTGACTTTGAAGCCACTTGTGAAGAAGGAAACCCACCTGAGTTTGTACATGAAATAATTGAATTTCCGGTTGTTTTACTGAATACGCATACTTTAGAAATAGTAAGTGAATTTTTATATTTTAATTGTATTTCTAGCAGCAACTATTCTGGTGTTTACTGGTTATGTGGAGGACCTCACTTGCTGTTTAGCTAGAACTAGACTTCTAAAGTAAGTTTTTTCTTTGCTGTGAACTTTATATCAGCTTGATTAATAGAAAAGCTTTATAATAAAGCAATTTTAGATACTACTGCTTTCTTTTTGCAGTAGCGAAAGTTAAAATTTTTTTTCCATTTGCTTAGAACATCTGGGCGTGGACATCAGAATCTCCTGGTAAGTAAAAAAATAAAATACTAATGATACAGATGCCTGGCCCTAGTCCCGGAGATTCTAATTTAGTTCTGTGATAGGGCCCCTGAAATCAGCATTTTTTTAAAGCTTTTCAGTTGGTTTTAATATGCAGTCAGGCTTGATAACCACTGCTGTGGCCTAGTGTGAACTCTGATCTCTAAGAATGATAATTTACAAAAATGTCTTTTGAACCTGTCTCTCTAGTGGAAAGTTTAAGGGTGAAATGACTTATATAGCCCTGGTTTCTAAGCCAAATGGTATGTGTGCTTTAGATACTTGTCAGTGCATTATTAGTTCAGAAAGTCATAGTAGGAATTCCCTAAAAGAATACTGCTTGCCTTATAAAATCTGGGCAAGAATATCCTAATGTCTCATCTTTCCAAAAGTCACTTCTATGATATCCTCAGTTGCTACCAACCCACTTGGGAGTAAGTATAAAAAGGCTTTGTGAATTAAAATGCATAGGTTATTCTTAGTGCTATTAAAAAATCTCTTTTATAGTCTTAATTAGTCTTTCTGTAATTTTCTCATGCAAAGCAGATTGAAGGTCAGTAAATTAGAAGGAAAAATGGCAGCTGTGAAGGCAAATAATCTTGCATAAGTCACTAGATTTTACTTCTCTCTTATTCGAGGATGTTACTGTAGCAGGTCTCCCGCATTTGGACGTTATGATTTACAGCTTTCGTCTGTATTGGTCCCACTACACACAAATATGTTATTTTTTTCACACCATAAAAAACCTTCTCTTCATCCCACTGCGCTGCCAGCTACCCCATTTCTTTGTTCCTCTTTTCAGGAAAATTCTTCACATAAGTTATATGTACTTATATATGTATCTCTTTCCTTTTCTTCCATTCTCTCAAATTCATACCATTGTGGGTTTACATTCAATAAAGTTTAAACTATGTATTCAATCCCATCATTCCACCGATACCACTCATCAACTTCATCTTTGACCTTTACCCTAAATCTTGGCAAAATTGAACATTCTCACTTTTTTTTTTTCTATTTTGAGATAGAGTCTTGAACCCAGGCTTGAGTGCAGTGGTGTGAACCCAGCTCACTGTAACCTCCGCCTCCCGAGTTCGAGCAGCTCTCGTGCCTCAGCCTCCTGAGTAGCTGGGAATACAGGTGCGTGTCACCACACCCAGCTAACTTTTTGTATTTTAGTAGAGACAAGGTTTCACCATGTTGCCCAGGCTGGTTTCGAACTCCTGAGCTCAGGCAATCCACCTGCCTCAGCTTCCCCAAGTGGTAGGATTACAGGTGTGAGCCATTCTCACTTTAAAAAAAAATAATTAACACTGCATTGCTGGTTTGAATACTTTTTCCTTGGAGCATTTTCTTCAGGTATAACTTGTTCTGCTTGATTTTTCTCTAGCGCTACTGGATTCCCTATTTGCAGTTTTCTTGGCTGGTTCCTCATTTCCTTCCCAGCTTCGCCGTATCAGATGTCCCAGGTCTCAATCCTAGCTCCTCTTCTTAGCTTACATCCTCTCGCTTGATGATCTTATCTAGTTCCATAGCTTTCAGAAGCTATCTCTATGCTGGTGACTTTCAAATACTTATTTCAAACTCGTACCTCTGTTCCAAATCCAGATTGCTTACTTGACATCTCTATTTAAATGTCTCAACCTGTTGAACTCCAGCCCATTCTATCTTTAGCCTCCTGTAGCTTGGGTGATGGCAGCTTTTTGTAATTAGAATCCTTCTAATTGCTCAGTTCAAAAACTTTGGAGTCATCTTTGACTCCTGTTTCTCTCACATCCAGGCCATCAATGATTCCTGTTTGGCTCTGCCTTCAAAATATATCCAGAACCCAGTCACTTAACTGAATTGCTGTGACTTCATTCTGAGCCCCTATCATTTATGTGACTTACTGCATTTGCCATCTAACTGGTCTTTGTGTTTCTGTCCGTGTTATCCTACAGCCAGTTCTCAACAAAGCTGCCAGAGTAATCCAATATAAGTCAGATCATTTCACCCCTCTGCTCAAAACCCTACACTGGCTCCTCATTTAACTCAGAGTACAACCCATATTCCTTACCTGCCCTGGCCTGTTGTTTCCTCTGATTGTTTCCTGTCTTACTACTCTCTTCCTTAACTCACTCCTCTCCAGGCATACTGACCTGCTTGCTCATTCTCAAAAATGCCAGGCTTGCTTTATCCCATTACTTGCCAGGACTTTAGCTCCAATTTTCTTACCCAGAAGTCTTGCTGGCCGATGTTTTTCTCCTTCTCTCCCTCCCTCTCATTTTTCCTTCCGGTCCTTCCTTAAATCTTACCTCTAAATAAAGCCTATTTGTTTATCCTGTTAAAGAGTGTGGCCTATACCCATGTTTCTGACCCCCCTTACTGCTCTGCTTTTCCTTTGCTTGCTCAAGTGAGTCTCCTGCTTCATCTTCCTGAGTAGCTGGGATTACAGGCATCTAGGTTCCTTTAGTTTTAACCTTTATGACCTTTTAACTTACATAATTTATTTAAGTGATGATTAAAGATTTGGCCAATGAATGCATAGTTCTCTCTAGCATTTTTCTGTTAAAAGTTTTTAATAGCGAATAATAACATTTTAGTAATATCTGTTATTTAGTACTACCGAATTGTAATTATAAGGGAAGTTGCAATGTATTTTTGAAAGAATGTCATTTAAAATGATAAAATAGTGATTTTAAAAGGATATGGACCTAATTTATCTGTGATATTCAGTTAAGTGGAATTTTGCAATATGTCTGGTAAGTAAAGAGTGTCTAACTTTTGAAGTTCAATTATTCTTTTTTTTTTTTTTTTTTTTTTTTGAAATGGAGTCTTGCTCTGTCACCCAGGCTGGAGAGCAGTGACTCAATCTTGGCTCACTGCAACCTCTACCTCCTGGGTTCGAGCGATTAGCCCACCTCAGCCTCAGTAGTTGGGACCATATGTGCGTGCCACCTCGCCCAGCTAATTTTTGTATTTTTAGTAGAGATAAGTTTCACCACTTTGGCCAGGCTGGTCTTGAACTCCTGACCTCAAGTGATCCAACCCCCCCCCTTTGGCCTCACAAAGTGCTGGGATTACAGGTATTAGTCACCACATCTGGCCTCAGGTGTTCTTTTTTGTTCTTTACTGTTGCTCATTTACAATTCTTTACAACCATTTATAGCTTAATAGATAAGTATGTAGAAAGAATTTATTCTTAGGAAATACAATCTTTACTTTTCTTAATTTTTAAATCTTCTGCCGTAAAGAATATTTTTTGTCATTTTCTCTGCTACCTAGGATTAACAGTTGCTGCCTTTAAATCTTTAGCGTTTAAAATTGTGCTTAATTTCTCAAAAGTGACTCAGTGTGTTCTGGTTAGGGAGGCATTACTGGGCAAGAGGAAAAAGCACTTAGAGATTGGAGCCTGATAACAATACTGGCCTCACTTAGTTTATGGAGTTGTGAGCATAAAATAAGACCATCGTGTCAGGAGGTGGAGACCATCCTGGCTAACACAGTGAAACCCAGTCTCTACTGAAAATACAAAAAATTAGCTGGGCGTGGTGGCAGGCACCTGTAGTCCCAGCTGCTTGGGAGGTTGAGGCAGGAGAATGACGTGAACCCAGGAGGCGGAGCTTGTAGTGAGCCGAGATCGTGCTAGTCAGTGCACTCCAGCCTGGGCAACAGAGCGAGACTCTATCTCAAAAAAAAGAAAAAGACCATCGTGAAAGCTTCTTGAAAAGGTTCAACATTGCTACAGGTACACTGTGTTAGCAACTCTTAAACTACGTATATATTGTTAACAGTTAAATTTTGACTATTTAGAATTTAGTTCCATTGGATTTTTATATGAAAATAAAGACTATTCAGGAGTAAATGAGAGCAATAATTTAAAGCTAATTTATTATAACTGAAGGCTGGCATTAATTATGAACCAAATGATTTTTTAATTTAAAAATTAAGAGTGCTTTTGGTGTGGGGAATTATCTTTAAAAACTAGAAAGGTTTATGCTATGAGATCCTATAAAATTACAACCTGCTGTAATGAATTCTTCATGTATCATGTATCGTGTATCTTAAGTCATATAAATTACTTTAACTTGCTATCCTTCCCTTGCAGGAAGACACATTTCAGCAGTATGTAAGACCAGAGATTAACACGCAGCTGTCTGATTTCTGCATCAGTCTTACTGGAATTACTCAGGTTATAATTCTAAGTTCTTCTTTCTAGAGTTTGAGTTTTTGAAATTAGGGATTTACGCCGGGTGCGGTGGCTCAAGCCTGTAATCCCAGCACTTTGGGAGGCTGAGACGGGCGAATCACGAGGTCAGGAGATCGAGACCATCCTGGCTAACACGGTGAAACCCCGTCTCTACTAAAAAATACAAAAAACTAGTCGGGCGAGGTGGCGGGTGCCTGTAGTCCCAGCTACTCGGGAGGCTGAGGCAGGAGAATGGCGTAAACCCGGGAGGTGGAGCTTGCAGTGAGCTGAGATCCGGCCACTGCACTCCAGCCTGGGCGACAGAGCGAGACTCCGTCTCAAAAAAAAAAAAAAAAAAATTAGGGATTTATTTTATACATAGTTTTAAAAAATCATTATTGTTGTAAACAATTTAATACCTTGCTTGGTAAAGATGTTTCGTGTTGTAATAATTAAAAAAAAAAAAAAAACAGCAAATTTTACACCTGGTAACATTTTCCTCAGCCTTTCCTCTTAAAGAGTTGTAGTGATGAATCTAAAGATTTCATTTGTAAAATGAAGCATCAGCAAATTGTTACCATACTGAACTTGGAGATAAATTTTATTTATTTATTTATTTATTTTATTTTTATTTTTGAGACAGTCTCACTCTGTCACCCAGGCTCGAGTGCAGTGGCATGACCTCGGCTCACTGCAGCCTCTGCCTCCTGGGCTCAAGCAGTTCTCCTGCCTCAACCTCCTGAGTAACTGGGACTACAGGCACGTTGCTACCACACCGGGCTAATTTTTGTATTTTTAGTAGAGACACGGTTTTGCCATATTGGCCAGGCTGGTCTCAAACACCTAACCTTAAGTGATCCTCCTGCCTTGGCCTCCCAAAGTGCTGGGATTACAGACGTGAGCCACCATGCCCAGCCAGAGATAAGTTTTAGAGTGTATCTGTTTACAACCTGACTTTATATGTTGCATTTATTTTTTATTTTTATTTTTTTGAGATGGAGTCTCACTCTGTTGCCTAGGCTGGAGTGCAGTGGCACGATCTTGGCTCACTGCAACCTCTGCCTCCCAGGTTCAAGCGATTCACCTGCCTCAGTCTCCCAAGTAGCTGAGACTAGGCATACACCTCCATGCCCGGCTAATTTTTTTTTTTTTTTATTTTTAGTAGAGACTGGTTTCACTGTGTTGGCCAAGCTGGTCTTGAACTCCTGACCTTAAGCCTGCCTTGGCCCCCGCAAAGTGCTGGAATTACAGGCATGAGCCACCACACCCAGCTTGTTTCATGCATTTTTAGGTCTCTGATTTTTGGTTGTATTCTAATGTGGTAGGCACTTTTTTCATTTAGTTGGTTCGTTCATTCACTCCACATGTGTTTGAGTGCCTACTATAATATATGCCAGGATTCATATGTATCTTTATGTGTATGTAGATGTATGTCTGTCCAGTGGTCACAGTAGGCCTGATAAGTCAAAGTTTTATTGGGGTGTTGTGGACATCTAGGAAAAGGGCTTCCATATATGACAGAGGGAATAGAAGACTGTCCTGGGGAAAAACATCCTCAAGTTGACGAACTTGGGCTGAGTCATGAAAGGTAGGTAGGCAGAGAAGAATGGCTGGGCATTTCAGATGGGGACTGGCAGGACTACAGGTAGTTCAGGATGGTTCAGATGTGTATGGGCTGGTAAGAAATGGTCCAGATAGGCAGAGGCAATCCAGATCCTGCAGGGTCTTGTGCATCTATTTATCCTGAAAGCCTTGGAGAGTGGTTGGAGGATTTAAATATGAGAGTGATAGGGTGGACCCGATTTACGTTTTAGGAAGATCAATCTGGCAGCAATATGTAGTATGCGTGGAAAATTGTGAGACCTGAGATGGGAAGACACTTAAGGAGCTGTGGCTTTCAACTTAGAAGAGATTTCTCGTTTCCCGCCTCTAGAAATCCAGTAAGCCACTATGTTGAGGCCTATAAAAAGAGAACCAATGACTGGGGATGATCTTAAATCTTAATTTTGGGAGGATTATACATTTCAGTTGAAAGTCGTCCCTGGTACTTGGTTATGAAATTTTTTAAATTTCTTAAAAATGAAACTTTAGGTGGAGCTAAGCCAAGGAAATCATGAATTTAAAGCATCAGCCTTTCTCATACTGTTTCTTTCCCTCCAACTTAGGTCTGGGTATTTTGTAGGACTACGTGAAGCTACAGCCCTGATTTTTGTATATTTTACTTTTATATCCTCAGGATCAGGTAGACAGAGCTGATACCTTCCCTCAGGTACTAAAAAAAGTAATTGACTGGATGAAATTGAAGGAATTAGGAACAAAGTATAAATATTCAATTTTAACAGATGGGTAAGTATTTAGGAAGATTATTTTTTGTATCTACTTTTTAAAGATTAAAGATACCCTAATTTATTTAACTTTTAGAATAACCACAAACTATTATTGAAGACCCTAGAGTCTCACCCCACAGGGGATAGTGTTTTTCCTTTCACCTAAGGATGAAAGAGAGGAGGAAAGCAGTGGTCACAGTTCAATCCAGGACTAGAACACTACAGAAAGATCAATATGTAAAGCTAAAAAGACTTTCCTACAACTCTGTTTTTATCATGACACTTCCTTGCTCAAAAAAGTCCAGACTCTTGAGCTTGGCGTTGAAGGCCCTTTCATCACATCCCACCCTACCCGTTTAATCTAATTCACCTGCCATTAATCCTCTTCAGTCAGACTGGCCCAGGAATTCACATGGTTTATCCTTTCTCTGTGTACTTACGTATGCTTCCCTCTCTACTGGGAGAGTCTCTTCTCGACAACTTCTTTATCATTTTTCAAAGCCCATCTTGTGTTTTACCCTGACAACCCCATTGATCTTTTTTCCTTGAAACCTTATAACTTCTATGATATGTACCATTCATGTTGACATCTGACCATATATTCTGATACGTAATCTATGTACATACATCAGACTTACTTTTGCAAGGAAATTTAAAATTCTTTCAGAGAAGGACTTTTGCTGCCTGATAATCTTCCATAATGCTTACCTTAGTGGTGAGCTTAAAGTGTATGCCCAGAAAGCATTTGTTAAATGAAAAGCTAAATGGGAAGATTAGAAAAATTAAAACATAGATGACAGACATTGTGCCAGGGCAACTCCTGTACCTTAAGGCCATTAAGGTTGAAAAGAACGTCCTAAACAATTTGTTTCAAACTGTACAGATTATCCTCTATCCTTGAGATGTCACCAACATAGAGAGTTTAGAGATCCTCACATATGATAGGAGAAGAGCATTGAATTTAATCACATCATAACTGTTAAGTTTGGAAAAATGTTTATGGACCCCTTTAGAAATCTATTACTGATTTTAAACATGAATGAGCAGTGCTCTGCTAAAGTATACAGGTGTTTCTGCCATAATATAGTATATGCAGTTCTGTTAAAGTGTCATTTTCTGGGACAGATCACTCAAAACCTATGCAATTTTGTAACTAGAGCACTAACAAAAACCAATCATTGGAGTCTCCATAAATAATTTGGACACAGCCCAGGCAAGCAACTAAGGGAAGGTAAGGTTGCGTCAAAGTATATTAAAATTGCACAGAAGCACTAGTATCCTGGGGACATAAACTTGTTTTTAATTTTCTTATAATATAGTCGACATTATTATAAGAAAATGCAAAGGATTATGTCCTGTTCCCAGTATAGCAGTTGAATTGAGGGCTTTTTTAATTTCCTGCTGAAGTTTATAATTTCCACTGCTATTATTCTGACTCTCCTTGCTTAAGAACAACCACATGTGAACCAACATAATTTCCGTATTACACAATCAGTATTGTCCTTAACTACAATAAATTGGTTAGTGTTATAGAAACATGTTGTAGCAGAAAAAATTGTATTTTAACCGTTTGATACCAGCTACTTTTGTCTCTTCCATTTTTTTGTTTTTGGTATTGTTTCAAAGCACACTGTCAACTTACTTTGCTAAGTCTGGCATTAAAAGTAAGCTTAGCATAATACTCAGCAAGATAGAAGCCTGCCCAGAACCATAAAAACAATCAAGATGAGCCTAATAGGAATTAGTTTGTGAGCAGAATTTAATATATCCGACTTCTTTGTTTTTTAAAGCTTTATTTTGAATTAGTATTTTGTAGGAAGCAAGGTTAATTTTGTCAGGTTAATATTACGTGTGAATATGAGAAAGTTGACATCAGTAAAAGATTTAAAATACTCATTTGTAAGAATAGTATACCATTTATTTCATCAATTTTTTGTCTTTTTTTTGATTTATAGTTCTTGGGATATGAGTAAATTCTTGAATATTCAGTGCCAACTCAGCAGGCTCAAATACCCTCCTTTTGCTAAAAAGTGGATCAATATTCGGAAGTCATATGGAAACTTTTACAAGGTAAAATTTCTATATTTAATAATTATATGGTTCTTCATAAATTTGTTAAATTTTGCATGTACGTTAAGTTGTAATTTTCCAGGTGTTTTTCATGGAAAAAGGCTATATAATTAGTTCTTACTCTTCAGATTCCAAATTAGTTATGTTCAAATTAGATAAGCATTTTTCTCATTCAGCCTGTTAACTTTATTTAAATAGGTTAACTATATATACCTGACAAGTTTGAAACTGTAGGGGCAGTCAGTATGTGGATCGTTTGTGGAGCAAATGCTCCCCACTGGATTTTAATTTTACTTTACATTTATCAAAGTTAATATGTGTGTGTGGTGTAAATGTTTAAAATATTATTGCAAGACTTACAATGAATGTCAGTATTCGGCCATAGCCTTCACCAGAACTGGTTCCTGTTCTGAGGCAAACACTTTCAAGTTCTGTAAAGCTCTTTTTTTTTTTTTTTTTTTTTGTCCCCCAGATATTTACCTTTGTATTTCTAAGTTTCATGCTTATACTACTTCTTGACTTTTCCGTTTGTGACCTATTGAATTCCTGCAATGAAAGATGAAGATTGAGCTTGACTAAGCTACCACTCCTGCATGTCCTTCCCTTCCTGCATCTTCCTACTATAGCTCTATTACCTTTCAGTCAGAGCAGTCAGTGTTCACAACTTTCCTCTAGGTGTAATAATTTACTTCTGGCGTTGTTTACTTATCCTCTTACTCTCCATTCAAACTGTAGGTCACTGCTTGTGACTGAAAACACTCACGTAGTCTGTCAGATTTTCATTTTTCCTCTTTTTTTCCTTTGCGGACTGTCTTCCTGGAGCCTTTAATCCTGTTCTAATCTGAACTATTAGTTCTTCAGGCTTCTTTTAAAATCATCTTAGGGGATTTCCTTTGATTCTCCTTCATTCTTTAGATCCTATGTTGTCATTTTTCTCCCTTACGGTTTCATTTTGGAGAAGGATGTTCTAAAGTAGTTTCATGAGAAAAGGTGCTTTTCCTTACAGACTCTTCTGTTTTAACAGTCTTTTAAAACTGAGAAGTATGCATGCAGAAAGTAGAGTTTTGCAGATTGTTATAAAGCAAATACCCTTGTAACTTCCACCCACTTAACTCCCTTCCTTCCTCATGGAGTTAACCCTAATTCATCCTTTCATGGTAATCATTTTCTTATCATTCCTTATAGCTTTAATATTTAAATGTATATCCTTATACTATATAGTTTTGTCTGGCTTTGAGCACGATATAATTAGTGTTATACTGGCTATATTATTTATTTATTTATTTTTCTCAATATTATGCTTGAAATCCATCCACATCATGTATGTCACTACAGTTCATTCACTTTATTGCTATTATTTCCATTGTGTGATTATACCAGATTTGTTTATCTCTTTTACTTTGGCCATTTGGGTGGTTTTTATTTGGGGCTTCTATGAAGATACTGTTATAAGCATTCTTCGGCACATCCCCTGGTGTCTTTGTGCACTGATTTTTCTGGGATATAAACCTAGGAGTCCTGTTGCTGGGTCATGGGATACGTACATCATTGACATTACTAGATAATGCAAAAATAGTTTTCCAATGGAGTTGTACCAGTTTGCACTCTTTTTTTTTTTTTTTTTGAGACGGAGTCTCGCTGTGTCTCCCAGGCTGGAGTGCAGTGGCGTGATCTCGGCTCACTGCAAGCTCCGCCTCCCGGGTTCACGCCATTCTCCCGCCTCAGCCTCCCAAGTAGCTGAGACTACAGGCGCCCGCCACCACGCCCGGCTAGTTTTTTGTATTTTTAGTAGAGACGGGGTTTCACCATGTTAGCCAGGATAGTCTCGATCTCCTGACCTCGTGATCCACCCGCCTCGGCCTCCCAAAGTGCTGGGATTACAGGCTTGAGCCACCGCGCCCGGCCTACCAGTTTGTACTCTTATCAGCACTGTGAGTTTATAGTTGCTGTAAGTTTTTGCCAGCATTGATATTATCAGACATTTTAAATGTTTTTTAAATTTGGTGGGTGTGTGATACCATCTCATTGAGGTATTACCTATCTGGATTGCGTTTTTGTAAACCCCTTGTTTAAATTTCTGACCATTTAAAAAAAAATGGTAGTCTATTCTTTCGTCACTGGTGTTTTTTACTGGTTTATAGATTTTTACTTTGGATGCTAGTCCTTTAGTTATATTTGATAACTTTTTTATGTGCATTTTTTGTTTATTTGTCTTTGAGATGGAGTCTCATTTTGTTGCCCAGGTTAGAGTGGAGTAGCGCTATCTTGGCTCACTGCAACCTCTGTCTCCCAGGTTCAAGCAGTTCTCCTGTCTCAGCTTCCCGAGTAGCTGGGACTACAGGCGCCCGTCCCCACACCTGGCTAATTTTGTATTTTCAGTAGAGACGGGGTTTCACCATGTTGGCCAGGCTGGTCTCGAGCTGCCTGCCTTGGCCTCCCAAAGTGCTGGTATTATAGGCGTGAGCCACCGCACCTGGCCTTTTGTGGATCTTTTTTTTTTTTTTTTTTTTTGAACTCATTTTGTGAATTTTTTAAAAAATTGTGTTCTGGAAAATTTCAGACATACAGAAATAGGTATAATGAGTCCTCATGACCCAGGTTCAACAATTACAAACTCATGGTCAGTCTTGTTTCATGTGTATCCCCACCCACTTTCCTCTTCCTTATTATTTTGAAGCAGAAGTCAGATATGATGTTGTCTGTAAAAATTTCATTACAAAGCTCCAAAAGCTAAGGGTCATTTTCTTAGAGACACAGCTACCATACCATTGTCACATCTTAAAAAATTAGCAGTAATTCCTTCATCAAATAGGCATAAATATTTTCTTTTACCTTTTGTGTGTTGAATCAGATCAGAATAAGCTTCACAGATTTGTAGTTGGTTAATATGTCTCTTAAGTTTTTTAGTCATTGATATGTGTGATATCTTAATATGTCTCTTTAGTTTTTTTAATCTCTTCTTTTTCTTCCCTAGCAATTTTATTTTATTCTTTAAAGAAACTGAGTCATTTATCGTGTTATGTTTCGCCTTATCTGGATTTTGTAATCGTATCCTGGAATGTGGTTTCAGAGATGTCGCTGTCTTCTGTATTTCATGTCAATTTATACTCCATTTGAGAAGCTCGATCCCCTTTAGGTTCTTTTTTTGCTACAAGTCCCAGATGGAATAATTTTTATTATTAAGAATTAATAAACCTTAAAATAATTTTCAGTCAGGTATGCATAAATCTACAGCTCACAGTATATTAGTGTAATCAGAAAGTTGTAGATATTATAAGGCAATAAAATGCTCCCTGCTTTTTTGAGTAAACAGTGGTTTCTCTTTGTGGACCTGTTTATTTTGGCCAGTTTGTTAGCCTACTCTTTTTTTGTGTGTGGTTTTCCCCTCTTCATAATAGGTAACTATAATGCAATTAGTTGTATAAGTAGAAACTTACGTTTCCTTTTTTTTTTTTTAATCTTATCTAAGACTTAAATAAAACTCTCCGTCACAAGTTTCTGTTGTCTATAATGCTAATAAGGTATATTATATGGTATGTCTCAAAACATTTTTGTTTTTTTAAAAATAAAAATGACCTTTTTTTAAAAATTTTTTTGAGACAGAGTCTTACTCTGTCACCCAGGCTGGAGTGCAGTGGTGCGATCTCAGCTCACTGCAACCTCCGCCTCCTGGGTTCAAGCAGTTCTCCTGCCTCAGCCTCCCGAGTAGCTGCGATTACAGGCGTGCACCACCACGCCTGGCTGATTTTTTTGTGTTTTTTAGTAGAGATGTAGTTTCATCATATTGGCCAGGCTGGTGTTGAAGTCCCAACATTGTGATCCGCCCCCCTTGGCCACCCAAAGTGCTGGGATTACAGGCGTGAGCCATCGCGCCCAGCCAAGAATGACATTTTATCCAACCTTTCTTGGGGGCAAAGGGTGGAAATGGGTAATTAAACTTGGAGCTTAATCTCTTTCATAAATTTAAAAGGTAGTAACTGTAATAATTTCACAATTATTTCTGTAAAATAATTGGCTTAGGCTAAAATGGGACTTGGTTTTTCTAAAAGTAGGCTGAAGTAATATGAATGAAAATATGGTCTAAGACACATTTTTATACAAGATTTTGGAGGGAAAACCCAAACTTTTTTTGTGCCTGGCATATCAGGTGCAAATGTGGGCTTAGCGTTTCCAAATTTTACAACTGTTTCTTTCTTTCTTTATTTTTTTTGAGATGGAGTATCACTCTGTCATCCAGACTGGAGTGCAGTGGTGTGATCTCAGTTCACTGCAACCTCCGCCTCCTGGGTTCAAGCAATTCTCCTGCCTCAGCCTCTCAAGTAGCTGAGATTACAGGTGACTGCCACCATGTCTGGCTAATTTTTTTGTATTTTTAGTAGAGACTGGGTTTCACTATGTTGGCCGGGCTGGTTTTGAACTCCTGACTTCGCCCCCCTCGGCCTCCTGAAGTGCTAGGATTACAGGCATGAGCCACCACGCCCAGCCTTCTTTATGTCTTTATAGGCCTGTGTATACGCATTAAAATGCTGTTGTTGAAGTAAAAGGAAAGGATGAAATATACCTCCTTCCTGTAAAATCTGTTTTTTTCCCTCCCTTTACAAATACTTAATTCTGGGTTGAATTTAAGATAAGCTCACATGAATTCATTTTATTTGGAAATTAGACAATTTCTGCCTTTGCTCTTCATGCGTGTTAAACACAAAAAACCCTGCTTACACATGTAGAAAGTTGAAACTACAGTGAAATGTTACTGCTTTCAAATGAATGACAGGATACTATGTTTGCAGAAATCCACAACTTTTCTAGGGGCAGAGCATAAAGTCTCATCTCCAGTGTACAGTCAGATTGTACCTATAAAGCTCTTTTCTTAAAGTCGGATTCTCAGGCTGAACAGAGATTGAGAGAAAGGATCCCTTACCTCATCATACTCTGGTGTTGAAAGGGAGGAAAAATACTTAATTTTCTCCTACAGTTTTTCCAGATTGTACTCAGTTAGACTTGAGACTTTCAAATAGCTTCCCTCAGTTGATACCAAACCCAAGCAAAAGGTGGACATTTTAAGGTTTTCTGTTATAACATGATTATTTCCAAAGACATACTCCATTACCTTTGAAATGCAAGAATCTTGTCACTTGAAGTCAAACATTTTCTCCAGCTTCTGATACGGACTTGTTCAGCTGGTTCATGTGATGAAAAATGTCTATAAGGAGGCTACGTTTTGCAGCCCTTCTTCAAACTGCTCAGCAAAATCTGGCCTTTTTGTTTTCCTGTTGTTCACCTTTCAACTCAGACACCTGATGGAGAACTTTTCCTTGCTAAGCCAGAGGAAGTAAGAGGTTGATTTGTTCTTTGTCCAGATTTTCACATCATTTTTAAAAACATGATGAAGTGACTGGCCTTTGTTTAATAAAGTTAGTAACTCTTTTTCAGGCATTATCTAGGACTTTTCATTTTAATCTTTTTTTTTTTTTGATGGTAAAATATACATAATACAGGTTGAAGTATTGTGTATAATGAGTATCCCTAATTGGAAATTATTGGGACCAGAAGAAATGTTTCAGATTTGGTTTTTTTTTTAGATTATGGAATATTTGCATATACATAATGAGATATCTTGGAGATAGGACCCAAGTCTAAATATGAAATTCATTTTTGTTTCGTATATACCTCATAGCCTGAAATTAAGTTTCATACAACTTTGTGGATGAAACACTGTATGTACATTGAACCATTAGAAAGCAAAATTGTCACTGTCTCAGCCACTGATACGGACAGTCTGGTTGTTTGGTATCATTCCTGATGCTGCCAATAAGCAATCGTTTTCTTAGTCACACACAAATTAATTGTGCGTCATGTACCTGTGTTTTGACTGGGAACCATCACATGAGGTGTGGAATCTTGCACTTGTGATGTTACGTTGGCGCTGAAAAAGTTTCCGATTTTGGAGCATTTCAGATTTTGGGTTTTTGGGATTAGGGATGTTCACCCTGTATAACACTTGCTGTTCACTTAAAAATGCTCCCAATCATTGTTAAGTGCACAACAGTTCAGTGGCATTAAGTACATTCACATTGCACGACCGTCACCACATCGTTCTCCAGAACTCTCATATTCTGAAACTGAAACTCTGTGCCTATTGAACTTCCCCTTCCCGCCAACTCCTGGCAATCATCATTCTTTCTGTCTCTCTCAGTTTGGCTTATCTATATACCTCTTATAAGTAGAAGCATACAGTGTTTGATCTGTTGTGACTGGCATATTTCACTGAGCATAATGTCTTTAAAGTTCATGTTGTATCGTGTCAGAATTCTACCTTTCTGAGGCAGAATAAGAATTCATTGTATGTATTTATGGGCTGAGTATCCCTAATCCCAAAATTCAATATCTGAAATGCTCCAAAATCTGAAACTTTTTGAGCACTGACATTGTACTCAAAGGAAGTTCTCATTGTAGCATTTCAGGTTTTGGATTTTTGGATTTTCAGATGAGGGATGCAAAAGTGGTGCGATGTAAACATTTAATATTCAAAATCCAAAACATTTCAAATCCAAAGCACTTCTGGTCCCAAGCATTTCAGATGAGGAATATGTAACCTGTACCACATTAAAAAAAAAAAAAATCCATTGATCGTTTGATGGACATTTAAGTTACTTCCATGTTTTGGCAATCATGACTAGTGCTGTTATGAACATGGGTGTACAAATATCATTCTTTTTCCTGTATAACCAGAAGCTGAATCATGTGCTCATCCTATGTTTAATTTTTTCGAGGAATCTCCACATTGTTTCCCACAGTGGCTGTACCATTTTACATTCCCACCAGCAATGCACAAAGTACTACATTCTCCATATCCCTGTCAATGCTTGTTATTTTCTGGTGTGTGTGTGTGTGTGTGTGTGTGTGTGTGTGTGTGTATGTGTTTGTTTATGGCTATTCTAATAGGTGTGAAGTGGTATCTCATTTTGGTTTTGATTTGTATTTCCCTAATAGTGACGTTGAGCATCTTTTCATGTGATTATTAGCCATTGGCATATCATGTTTGGAGAAATGTCTATTCAGGTTCTTTCCTCATTTACTAAATGTGAGATATCATGATGTTTTGAGTTGTAGGAGTTCTTTATTTGGGATATTAATTCCTTATCAAATATATTCTTGCAAATGTATCTTCTGTTCCATGGGTTGCCATTTCACTCTACTGATAATGTCTTTAGTAATAAGGTTTTTAATGTTGATGAAGTCCACTTTATTTTTTCTTTTGTTGCCTGTGTTTTGGTGACATCCAGGAAATTATTATACAATCCATTGTCATAAAGCCTTTTCCATAGGTTTTCTTCTAAGAGTTTTATAATTGTATGTCTTACATTTAGGTCTTCCATCAATTTTAGTTAATTTTGGTATATGGTGTAAGATAAGGGTCTAACTTCATTCTTTTGCACATAGATATTCAGTTTTCCCAACACTATTTGTTGAAAAGGCCGTTGTTTTCCCCATTGATTCAGTGTATTTGTGAAGGTTTATTTCTAGACTCTATTCTGTTTTATTAGTTTATATGTCTATCTTAATGCTAACACCACTCTCTTTCAATTACTATACTCCTTCCTGCTGTTAATGGTTGTGTTAACATTGTTTTTTAAATGTTGAGCCATCCTTGCATTTCAGGATAAAATCCGACTTGGTCATGGCACATAATTATTTTAATATGTTGCTGCTTTAGGTTTGCTTATATTTTGTCAAGGATTATTGCGTCATGATATTCATAGGGGATACTGATCTGTAATTTTCTTTCCTCATGAGGTCTTTGTCAGGCTTTTGTATCAACGTGATGCTGACCTTAATGGAATGAGTTGGGAAGTATTTCTTCTTCAATTTTTTTGTGGTAGTTTGAGGAGGCTTTGTTCTAATTCTTTAAATATTTGCTAGAATTCAGCAGTGAAGTAATCTGGTTCAGAGCTTTTCTTTGTTAGAGGTTTTCAGTTATTGATTCAGTCTCCTTCCTAGGTATAGGTCTATTCAGATTTTCTGTTTCTTTGTAATTCAATTATTGGTAAGTTGTGTATTTCCAGTAATTTGTCACTTCCATCTAAGTTATCCAGTATTTTGGAAAAGTTATTTTTAGAAGTGCATTTTCCAAGTGATAATTAGTGGAAGGTACAAGATATATTGCAGTATAACAGCTTAAGATAATTATGGATATTTTACATGATTTGCTTTGTGATTATCCCAGTAACCCTATGAGTAAATAGTAGAACCGTTAGTCCCATTTTATGGATGAAGAAGCTGAGATCCATGATGCATAGGCAAAATAGCTGTGCAAACTATGGAATGTAAAACCTAACAAATCTTGATAGAAATATGAAGAAAATATAACAATTTTTTTTTTTTTTTTTTTGAGATGGAACCTCACTCTGATGCCCAGGCTGGAGTGCAGTGGAGTGATTTCAGCTCACTGTAACCTCTGCCTCCCGGGTTCAAGGGATTCTTCTGCCTCAGCCTCTTGAGTAGCTGGGATTAGAGGTGCACACCACCATACCCAGATAATTTTTATATTCTTAGTAGAGATGGGGTTTCACCGTGTTGACCAGGCTGGTCTCGAACTCCTGACCTCAGGTGATCCACCTTCCTTGGCCTCCCAAAGTGCTGGGAATACAGGCTTGAGCTACCACACCCAGCCAATAATTCTTAAAAGTGGAGGTGCATGTTGGAATTTGGGGAGTGTGAGGTTTTTTTTTTTTTTTTTTTTAGTTTATCAAGGAACAGGTTTTAAATAACTTGAAAAACATCACACGACATCATCTTTCATTCTTAATCTTCATTATCTTTAGCCATCCCAAAAGGCTAGTCTTTTTATCTAAGAAATCAGTCAAGTAAAACATGATAGAAAAATACCATGTAAAATAACTAATTTGGTTTAAAAAGGTAGATTCAACTTACATGTCCTGAACAATACATTCCCTTTAATAAATTATTTTTAAATTTTAAAACTGCAGAGGTTTCAGATGTCTGAGGATTTGGTCTGTATTTTCAGCTAAAACTCTAAGATCATATTTTAGAACTCTGAAAATTTGAGGATTTTTTTTTTTCTTTTATTTTCCCCGATGGAGTCTCGCTCTGTTGTTCAGGCTGGAGTGCAATGGCTTGATCTGAGCTCACTGCAGCCTCCGCCTCCCAGGTTCAGGCAATTCTCCTGCCTCAGCCTCCAGAGTAGCTGGGATTACAGATGTGCACCACCTCGCCCAGCTAATTTTTTTGTATTTTTAGAAGAGATGGGGTTTCACCATGTTGGCCAGGCTGGTCTCAAACTCCTGACCTCAAGTGATCTGCCCGCCTTGGCCTCCCAAAGTGCTGAGATTACAGACTTTGAGCCACATTGCCAGGCCTGAGTTTTTTATTTGCCTTATTTGACTGGGGGTATTGCCCTTTGCCTAGCTTTATTTAGCTATTTGTGCTAATTTTCAGTTCCTATTTTTCAGCTTAACTGTGGCTTATATTACAGTTTAGAACACCAAAGAATTATTTACTAAGCTGTTTATTTTTCAGGTTCCTAGAAGCCAAACCAAACTGACAATAATGCTTGAAAAATTAGGAATGGATTATGATGGGCGGCCTCACTGTGGTCTTGATGACTCTAAGAATATCGCCCGAATAGCAGTTCGAATGCTTCAGGATGGGTGTGAACTCCGAATCAACGAGAAAATACATGCAGGACAGCTAATGAGTGTGTCCTCTTCCTTACCAATAGAGGGCACTCCACCGCCACAAATGCCACATTTTAGAAAGTAACAGCAGTTTTGTGTGTGGATCATTCCAATTGAAGTTGCTATGAAGAGGTAGCAGATGAATCTCATTGAATTAGTCCTATAGTGCAAACTTTAAGCACCTTAAAACATTTAAGATCTTATTACAGGTGATAGAGATAGATAGATGTATGTGAACAGATTTTGCAGGAAGGCGTACTGAATTCTTTGTCACCAGCACTTTTGATATGAGCAGTATTCGTTACACAGTAACAGTTCCTGCTTAGAACTGACTTATAATTTAAGGTGTTCACTATATTTTCTTTGGTTTTAAAATGCAAAATCTCATTGGCTGTTCTCTTGAATGTCATATCATACTGGTGTTAAAATATGTAATGTATTTCTTTATTAACATCACTAGATGAAACCATATCTTAAAATGCAGAAGTGATTGGAAGGTAGGTCTTATCTAGCCTTTGGATTTCAAGAATAGCATAGTCCTTTTGATTTTTCAGAGTTTATATATGAAGTTCACCATGTATGTGATGAATTTCATAAGGTACTTGGTATACATATTTGCCTGTGTTTCTTTTCAACTCATAATTGGAAGAATTGTGATCGATTATAGGATCTGGTTAAAAATTCAGTTACTGAAGGAATTAATGAGAACTTGGAAGAAAATACTGAAAGGACTGTCATAAGGGCTATAGCTCAAACTTCGTAATACATAAATCACTGTCATCTTTTTGGATTTGGTTGTTTGATTCTCCTTCCTTTTTTGACATATATATGCCTTAATTCTTCAATCTGAGGGACCATGCTTTGAAATAGACTGAAAATTAAGGGTCACCACCTAATTTTACTTTGTATTCAATATCATAAGTGAGGTTAATAAAGTCAATACTTTCTACCACATATTATGTTTTTGTTATTAAAAAACTTCATTGGCCACCAGTGAAGTTAGTCAATAAAATACTTGTTTTTCTGATTTTACATAGTAAGTGGCTGCTAACTGTTGAGTTATTCTTAACTAAATCTAAAAACAAAAATGTGCATTTCGACTTGATAGGGTAGAACTCTTATCTAGAGGCTAAACCCATGTATTTTCAGAATTGAATTTTTCTTGATTTCAGGGGACAATTTTTCTTGATTTCATTGACATTGCTTGCTTCCTGCCTTTTACCTTTTAATAAAAATTGTGATGCTACTTTATTCTGAAGATTTATATTTTATAATCAAATGAATTTCCTCAAAGGTTTCCAAACCTGATATATAGGGTGAAAAGCAGGAAAGTAGACGTTTTGCTTGGTGTGGGAATTACCTACATAGGGCGGTAGATTTCTTTTTCTTTTCTTTTTTTTTTTTTTTTTTTAAGATGTAGTCTCGTTCTTTTGCCCAGGCTGGAGTGCAGTGGCGCGATCTCGGCTCACTGCAACCTCCGCCTCCCGGGTTCAAGCAATTCTCCTGCCTCAGCCTCCTGAGTAGCTGGGATTAACAGGCTCCCGCCACCACGCCCAGCTAATTTTTGTATTTTTAGTAGAGATGGGGTTTCACCATGTTAGTCAGGCTGGTCTCGAACCCCTGACCTCGTGATCCACCCACCTTGGCCTCCCAAAGTGCTGGGATTACAGGCGTGAGCCACCGCGCCTGACCCAGGGCGGTAGATTTCTTAAGCCAATAAATTTCTGCTTTTGAGCAGTAGTCATATAATCAGTATCATAAAGAATAATGTGTAAATAACAGAAGGCATGAGTGTGTGGTGTTCCTAGATAAACTGTTACAGATTATAGTAAAATAAGGAAATCTAAGTGCTTTAAGTTTATACAGTTAACTCTTAGGATAAGACAGATATATGCTGAGATGTTTGTGAATCCCAGATAGCACTGTATGATAAACTGTAAAGTATTAATGAATGTCGTAAAGAATTTCCTACAAATCCTTACTGTGCCAGGGCAAAGGAGTAGAAAATAGCAAATCACAGATGGCAGGAGATCTAGACACTCTTTAGGTGATTTTTTCCATATAGCCATCCTACTGTGGAATTCAAATCCATGCTCTAGCAGAACTCTAATTGCCTCTCAGCACTTCCAGAGTCGCACATGAAAAGCTGAAACTGCAATTGGAAAATCTGATGATGACAAGGAAATACTACGTTTCTGGTTTTGTTTTAGCTCTATCTGCTAATTTCTTTGCCTATTTTCCGTTTTGCCAAGTACCAACAAGCTTATGTTGTATTTCTTTTTAAGACCTTCAACATTATAAGCTCTCAGTACCCTATTTTTTGTTGTTGTTCGAGATAGTTTTTGCTCGTCTGCCAGGCTGGAGTGCAGTGGTGTGATCTTGGCTCACTGCAACCTCCGCCTCCTGGGCTCAGGTGAGATCCTCTTGCCTCAGCCTCCTGAGTAGCGGGGATTACAGGCGCGTGCTACCACACCTGCTTAATTTTTGTTTTTTTAGTAGAGATGGGGGTTTCACCACGTTGGTCAGGCTGGTCTCGAACTCCTGACCTCAAGTGATTTGCCCACTTTGTCCTCCTGCGGATGTGAGCCTCTGCGCTCAGCCATAGATTTTACTGTCTTAACCCATTTTAATTCCTTTGTTGAGTCTCTGTCTTCCCCTCCAATTTGATTTGGGATTTTGCTGATGAGATTATACTAAACATTGAGAGTACTGCTTTTTACTCTGACTTTTATTGTGTTGTCTTTCAAAGACAAATAGTACAATTTTGTACAAGGAAACACGTAAGAGATGGATGTCTTTCTGGTATGCCCACGAAAACAATATTAGTATATTATTGTTACTTATTAATAGTATTTACAATTTATTAATTATTAGCTATGTTAATTTTTATTCTATGCTTCATTTGCTCTGACATTGACATAGTGGATTTCTGCTGATTTTTTTCGAATCCACGATCTTTATAACCAACTGAAAAATATAATAGAGCATTATATTTCGTCTTTATTTGTGTTCTTTTGGATCAAGTATTTAACATTTGCTCTGAAAAAAAAGTTTTTGTGACGTGTCTTTGTTGCCTTGAGACAGAGCTGTTTATCCTGCCTCCTAGGGAGAAGTTTCTGCCTGGATTGAAACAAAAAAACACAGGAGTCACAGCATGTTACCTATTAAAAGAGAGAGGGTATCTCTGAAGACTAATTAAAATGGTAATTTTTTAAAAGATGGGACCAGTTGACTTTTAGTATATCACCCCAAGTATTATCCCCAAAATGATAATACAAAACAATAATTTGGAGACCAGGAGAAAAACTGGTAGTAGGATTATGGGGGAGGGGAAGAAGCACAGGTGGTCAAGATAATAATGCGTGTTTGGCCTCAGCTGTAGGTAGAGGTGCCAGAGAAACTACCTGCCTCACAGATGAGCGCACACAGGTGCATTGTAAAAGTCTGGGAAGGATGTATTGTACTCTGAAGGAAGACTTTCCATTTCTAAGCTACCATGGAGAAGTATAAGCTCCTTGAGACCAGAGACTGTGACTTCTGCATCTTTGATTCCAGCGACGTGATAAAATGTTTTGCACATAGTTGAATCCAGCGTTGATAAATAAAGGACAGCCTTACATCTTTTTTCTGTTATACTTAGCAATTTCCTCTTTCTTCTGCACCACCAACCTGTATTTCAAGCCTCCCTGCCCCACAGAGCTTCCAAAGCCAATAAATTTGTTAATCTAGAGCAGGGGTCAGCAAACTGCCACCCCTGGGCCAAATCTGGCCTGCTGCCTGTTTTTGTATGGCCTACAAACTATGGTTTTTATATTTGTTAATGGCTCAAAATAATATTTTGTATAATATGAAAATTACACGAAATTTTAGTTTCTCTGAATAAAGTTTTGGAAAGAACTACCATTCTCATTTGTTTTCATGTCATCTCTGACCACTTTTGTGCTACAATGGCAGAGTTGAATAGCTGCATCAGTGGTACCATCTGGCCAGCAAGGCCAAAAATACCGTCTGGCCCTTTACAGAGAAAGTTTGCCTACCCTTACCTCTCTTGTCGAATGCAATGTGTAAGTTGCATCAACAAACAAGAAATGGGACTGATAACATGAGAGTCTAGAGCTGAATGTTAAGGTGCAATAATGATACTTGCACCAAACATTTATTGACACTGTTAAGTACTTTACCCCATTGTTTAATAAGAATCTGGTGAGGGAGAGAGGCCTTCTGTCCAGTGTACAGATGGGAAAATTAGGTCCAGAGTGGTTAACTTGCCAAAGTTTAAGTTGTGGGAGCTGTAGACTCTGGCAGTCTGACTTGAGCCACTGCTCTTTACCCCTGTGCTATGTATGCTGCCTCCCCTCGTAGACTTTGGCTTAACCTGATATTCCAGGAACAGATAGGTTGTCCTAGGTAGAATAAGCATCTTTCTGCTACAGTTCAGACATTTTCAATGCGTTTTTACTAAATGCTGCAAATCAGGGGATAATTTGATGTTCATTCTTTGAAGCAATATAAAGTATTTTTAACTTCTAATGTAACCAGCTCTGAGGTTTTTTTGGAGATGGGGATAAGTGGAGAAGGAGAAGGATTTTTGCTTTAAAATTTCCCCAGTGTTCTTGAGATGAGAAACGTTAGTGTCTTGAGTTTATAATGACACAGGCTAAAGGGCTTAAGCTTGACGGATGGATTAAGAGGTGGAAGTAATTGTTTTTCTGGATTCCTTACCAAGACTTGGGTAAGGGGCTGATGCCTGAGGCTTTAAACCAGATCTGCTTTTCTACTTGCAAATGAATGTTCTCAAGTTAAGTTTCATTAGATTTGTTTTAGGATGAATACTGCTCAATCATTGTGGAGCCACAAGGCATGCTTCTTTTTATTGCACTTCTCTTTATTGTACTTTACAGATACTATTTTCTTTTCTTTCTTTCTTTGTTTTTTTAACATACTGAAGGTTTGTGTGAATCCTGTGTGGAGAAAGTCTGTTGGTGTCATTTTCCCAACAGCATTGCTCACTTCATGTGTCTTACATTCTGGTAATTCTCCCTATATTTCAAACTTTTTGATTATTATTATCTCTCTTAGGGTGACTTGTAATTAGTGACCTTTGATGTTACTATCATGGTTGTTTTGGGGCACCACAAACCACACCCATATAAGACAACAAACTTAATTGATAAATGTCTGTGTTTTCCCCATGGCTCCCTCTCCAGACCTACCTATTCCCTGAGACATAATATTGAAATTAGGCCAGTTAATAAGCCTACAGTGGCCTGTAAGTGTTCAACTGAAAGGAAGAGTCACATGTCTTCCACTTTAAATCAAAAACTAGAAATGATTAAGCTTAGAGAGGAAGGCATGTCAAAAGCTAAGACGGGCTGAAAGCTATGCCTCTTGATCCAAATTGGCCAAGTTGTAAATCCAAAGGAAAAGTTATTGAAGGAAATTAAAAGTGCTGCTCCAGTGAGCACACAAGTGATAAGAAAGCAAAACAGCCTTACTGCTGATATGGAGAAAGTTTTAGTGGTTTGGATAAAACATCAAACCGCAACATTTCCTTAAGCCAAAGCCTAATCTAGAGCAAGACTGTAACTCATATTCTGTGAGGGTTGAAGGAGGTGAGGAAGCTGCAGAAGAAAAATTGGAAGCCAGCAGAGATTGGCTCATGAAATTTAAGGAAAGAAGCTGTCTCCATAAAATAAAAGTGCAAGGTAAAGCAGCAAGTGCTGATGTAGAAGTTATAGCAAGTTATCTGGAAGATCTGGCTAAGATAATTGATGAAGGTGGCCACACCAGACAACAGGTTTTCAATGTAGATGAAATAGCCTATTAGAAGAAGATAACATCTAGGACTTTGATAGCCGGAAAGAAGTCAGTGCTTGGCTTCAAAGCTTCAGAGGACAGGCTGATTCTTTTTAGGAGCTAATGTAGCTGGGGACTTTAAGTTGAAGCCAGTGTTCATTAACCATTCTGAAAATCCTAGGGCCCTTATGCTAAATCTACTCTGCCTGTGCTCTATAAAGGGAACGGCAAAGCCTGAGT